GGGGCTGTTGAAGCTCTACCTCCTTTTCCATGAAATTAGTGTACAAAAAAATGCAGCATTTCAACTCCAGCAACAGCACTTAAAAGGATAATTATGTCTCCCATTGAGGAGTGTTAGGCTCTTTCTGGGATGATTCAGTTTACCACCCTGCATCAGTTAGCCTCCAAATTGTCTTAAGCAAATGCAGTGGGAGGGGGTTAAACAGCTTAAATAATTTGCCTCTGTCAAACTGACTGATTTATCTATGTGATTGGAGGTCCATGACTGTCACCCTGGTTTTTTAAGTTTTTCTAAGCCTCCTGATGTTTACATTCTTTTAACAAACTTTCTCACACACTTTATGTAAATAACTTATTGTTTGCATTCTTTTATAGAAGAAGAGAAATTTGATAAACTGTTGGTTTATCCAGTGTCATTGGAGAAGTGGGACTGTCATCCTCCAATCCACTGTCACTTTTAGAAGTCTATAAATGTTAGAATCAAAAATTAAATGTACCCTTGAAAGAACTGTGTCCATGTCATGTTGTTTTGTGTCCTATAGTGACACATGACCAGAGCTCTCAGCAGAGGAGAATCAGGTCTGCATAGTAATCTTTCCTTCTGACACTTCTGGAGTTTGTTCATCTACAACTCAAATCCTTTACTTTGTACAACAGAACCTGAAATGTCTGCCTTGTTTTTTAACCTTACTTAGCAAAGGTAGCTGTTCCACATATTGGTATCTGTCCCTGGAGTTCACAGTTGTTGAGGCCCTTTCAGAATCAGCTGAACCTTCTCCAGGTGATGTACATTTTCACTGACTAAAGGAATCTAAGGGTTTTGAAGTGTTTGTACCCCTCCAGGAGGTGAGTTAACCTTGCCTCAGAACTGCAGTTAAGTTTGTGGCTGAACTCAGTAATCTTAAAGGTTTTTCTCAGACGGAAGGATTCTGTGAAAGGGGCTGCATTTCCCATCTTTCCCATCTTTCCCATCTGCACTGATGTTGCTGATGTCTGCTGCCCTTCCTAAACCAAAAGGCAATAGCCTATCCTATGTATCCTGTGCAATGGAGCTTTGAGTTTGTCCTGTGAGATAACCTGCAGGATGTTCTGCTGTTCAGTTTCTGAGCCAGGGCTGACATCAGGATTTTATCTGTAGGCTTGGCCCCCCAACATGGGGTAGAGGGGCTGTGTCACCTTCTGAAGGCCAATATTGCTCCTCCAGGGAGATGCCACCAATGGCATCAGCTCCTCTGGACCACACACCATGGGACAATGACTACAACAGGCATCCTGTTCCTGTTCCACAGAGCTGAGAGGACCCAGTAATCCCTGCAGTGAGGTGGGTGAAAATGAAAACCATCACAAAAATGGAAGAAAGATAAGCACCTGCAGTGCTCTTTAAAAGATGAACACAAGCAGAAGCAAAGGGGCAAAGTAGAAGCAAAAGGGCAAAGTAGAAGCAAAGGGGCAAAGTAGAAGCCAAGGTTTCTTGAGAAGAAACAAGTCTGAGCTGGCAGTGTCTGGAGGAGGGCTGAACCATAGAGCACTCGACAGCCCCTGGTCAACAGAGGAAGGGAACTGTGTTCAGAGGTGGTTTTTATTCTGAGGACCTGTGACAATCCCTTGATGCATGTAAATGGATAGGTGATCCATTTATAAATACTCATCCAGCGCAGAAGGTGGCTTTGGGGTTTGGTTGGTTGGCTGATTTTTCATGGAAAATACAATATATTGAACTAAAAGGTTAAACCAAAAACTGAATAGTGAAGCTGGGAGGAAAACATACTCAGGCTTATGGGAATTTAAAGGATTCATTGTTAATGCTTAGAGGGCAGAGCAGAGAGGGCACTGCTGAAAAGCCTGGTCTAAGAAAATGAGCACAGAGCAGCAGACCTCTGGTGTGGTAACTGAGGAATCATGGCACATTCTTCAGTTTGCTTTACTACATTTAAACACTGTCAGGCAAATATTGTTGCCAAGACACAGTCCAGAATGTGAGGAAAAGGTGATTCACACTCCCCCCAGGACATATGGCAGCTTTTAAGGAAGTGGGTCCAATGTTTGACCCAAAAATGGCAAGTGGTGTATCTACACAAAAAGGAACCACAATAGGTCTCTTTTTAGACTCTATTTTGCATGAGATGCTCCAGTAGAAGAAGAGAGTTGGAGAGTTGGACCCCTACAGCACCAGGTGGGAATTAATCCTTAACCTCTAAACTTCAGCCTGGTAATTTTCTATAGGTTTGAGACAGGAAACTCTTTAATGCCATGTTTAGTGTCTGCTGCAGTATTTGTTCCAAACTGGTATTTCTGAATGTCTTAAATATGATTATAAAATTAAAACTGTTATTGAGTTCAGGGAATTCTTGAGTCTTTTACACTTAGTCTATGAATGTCTTCAACACAAGCATTGCCAAACCTGCCTCATTCAGAAAAAGGAATTCACAGGTAAGGGGGTTCTATTTTTAGCTTTTGGGGAATACAAGGAGCTGGCAACCAAAAGAGCAACAGATGGGAATCCTGTTGTGTCTGCTCAGGAAGAACATTCAAAGGCCTTGGGCTGTCTTTAAATCTCAGGAATCCTAATGAGTTTTTGGTCACATTTTGGAATATGTGACCACCTGAAAATAGTTGGTAAAAAAAATCAAGTAAACTGTGTAGAAAATGAATGGCCTTTTGAGTTCATTTTCCTCTCTACAAGCAACTGTTTTTTCAGGATGAGAAAACAGACTTTCAAATAGAAAATAAGCTGGAACAGTGTTTCATGGATTTTGCCTGTATGTTTCTGCAGCTGGGCAGCAGCAGATGTGCTGGGTGGAGAATGCTCAGGGCAGACTGTGAGAATTGGGCAGATACCACATTCCAACAGCCACTTACTGTCACATCCCTTCTGGTGAAAGGCTTTCATCCTCACCTCTCAATGCAGTGAAAACAATGCCAGCAATGCCAAGGAATACTCAAAGTAAATTACTTTGATCTGTAACCAAGCTCTCCTGACAGCAACAGACCAGGCTGTCAGTAGCCTCATCTGTCCTGCTCCCAAATCCTGCCACTCTGGAAGGAGCCTGCCTTCCCTCAGTTGGGTACCTGCTGTGTTAGATAGTAAGCAGTCCCTGTGTTCCTGCTGGCAGTGTTTCAGTGTCCAGCCTGTCCTTCCTGTAAAACCTTTGGAAACCCTGTGAAAACTGTAAGATGACAGCCCTTAGCACAAGGGCCCTTCGTGCTTAAAAATGTCCCTAAATTCCTCACCTGCCCACTTCAATTTGTTAAATTTTCTAGAACATCACCATGGTGCAGGGAGGCCTCCATATGTATTTTAGCTGTTTTGTGTCTTCATTTTTTTGTCCACAAATTTCTCACAGTGCTTTGCATTTTGTCCCATGCTGATTCTTGCTGTCATTTTTGAAGACTGTCCACTGTGCCCCCAGGATCTTTTTCGTGAGTGGCAATCGTTTATCACTGCATAGGTGATGAGGACTGTCCTCCTTCCCCCCGGACACCCTCTGTGCTCATTGCTACAGCGTGTCCCTGTCGTTTTGTCACCCAGCGCAGTAACCATCAGGGTTCGCCAGCTTTCAGCCTGAGTATCCTGATCAACGTGGTGGCTCACCAAATCCCATCATGTCAGTACTCATTCCCTTTCCCTGGAAACAGCCCGAAAGCGCTCAGGCTGCAGAAAGAATCTTCCAGCAGGGGGAAAGCGGAGAATCTCTCGGTACATTCCTGCCCTCCCTGCGCTCCCCATCAGCGTCTCACCTCGTTGCAGCCAAGTGGATCGGGGAGCCTTTGGTGAAGGGTGCCATGAAGAGTCCCTCAAACACCTGCCCTACTGACAGAGCAGCTTCTGCCCGTGCCCTGGGGCTGGAGCGAAGGCGGACACGGCCCTGGCCATCCCTGCCGTCCCCCGGCCGGCTCCAGCGCCCCTCGGCTGCCGAGACCCGGCTCGGGGCTGGGAATGTGGGCCCGGGCAGGGCCGCCTGGGTGCCGCAAGCAGCTCCTCCGAAGCCGGGCAGAGACACGGGGACCACCGGGAACAGCCGCGGCCCGTGGCAGGCGGGGCGGCCGCGGGGTGGCCGCGCTGTCCTGGGCTCGGCGCTGCCCCGGGCTATGGCACTGTCCGGGCTATGCACTATCCCGGGCTATGCACTGTCCGGGCTATGGCACTGTCCCGGGCTATGCACTGTCCGGGCTATGCACTGTCCGGGCTATGGCACTGTCCGGGCTATGGCACTGTCCCAGGCTATGCACTGTCCGGGCTATGCACTATCCCGGGCTGTGCACTGTCCCGGGCTATGCACTGTCCGGGCTATGCACTGTCCGGGCTATGCACTGTCCCGGGCTATGCACTATCCCGGGCTGTGCACTGTCCCGGGCTATGCACTGTCTCGGGCTATGCACTGTCCCGGGCTATGCACTATCCCGGGCTGTGCACTGTCCCGGGCTATGCACTGTCCCGGGCTATGCACTGTCCGGGCTATGCACTGTCCGGGCTCGGCACTGTCCCGGGCTATGCACTGTCCCGGGCTATGCACTATCCCGGGCTATGCACTGTCCCGGGCTATGCACTATCCCGGGCTATGGCACTGTCCCGGGCTATGGCACTGTCCAGGCTATGGCACTGTCCCGGGCTATGCACTGTCCCGGGCTATGCACTGTGCGGGCTATGCACTGTCCCGGGCTATGCACTGTCCCGGGCTATGACACTGTCCGGGCTATGCACTGTCCCGGGCTATGGCACTGTCCGGGCACTGTCCGGGCTATGCACTGTCCCGGGCTATGCACTGTCCCGGGCTATGCACTGCCCGGGCTCGGCGCTGCCCGGGCTCGGCGCTGCCCGTGCCGCCGTGCCGGGCGCCAGGAGGCAGCGCGGGCTCGGTGCCTGCCCGCCCGGGTCGGGGTAATCATTAACCGGGCCTGGCCGCCGGCACCGCGCCGCGCATCGCCGCCCGCACTCGGCAGGGACCCGCGGCCGGGCACGCACCGACCCCGGCCCCGGCACCGCCGGGGCTCCGCGCAGCCATGGAGGGCGAGGCGAACGGGACCCTGCACCCGTCCTGCGGCTCCAGCGAGCCGCCCTACTCGGAGGAGCTTCTCCGGAGTAAGTGCGGGCCGGGAGGAGAGGGGGCTGCCCGCCGGAGACCCGGGGCGGCCCCTGCCCGGCAGCGCCCTCGGCACCTACCGCGGCGGGATGGCGGGGACTGCCCCTGCCCCTGCCCCTGCCCATCCCCTGCCCCTGCCCCTGTGCGTGCTGCTGCCTCTGCCTGTGCCTCTGTCCCTGTCGGTCCCTCTTCCCCGTCCCTGTCCGTCCCCCTGTCGCTGTCCGTCCCTCTGCCCCTGTCCCTGCCCATCCCCTGTCCCTGTCCCTGTCCCTGTCCCTGTCCCTGTCCCTGTCCCTGTCCCTGTCCCTGTCCCTGTCCCTGTCCCTGCGTGCCCCTTCGCCGTTCTTCCCCGGCGAGGAAATCCCCGTTCGGAGGCCGGCACCCGCCTGTCCCGGCCGATCCTCCGTCTGTGTGGGGGCCGAGCGGGCTCCGGGGCAGGGCGGGAGCCCAGCACGGCCCAGCCCGGGCTCGGCTGGGGTGGCTCAGAACAACGGGGCGGTGCGGCGGGAACCAAGCGCTGAACCGGCCCCTGGAGCCGCGCCGGGTCTCGGGCTCCCTCCGGCGAGATTTAAGGAGTGGAGGTGTCACTGAGACGTGCACCGCCCCGCCTGCAGCCAAGTCTGAAGTGCCGGGTTTTTTTGAAGCAGGTTGGATTAAAGAGGCTGGGGCAGGGGCTCTGCTTTGCCTTCCGATAGGCGGCGGGTCCGGCAGGAGTTAGTACTGATGATGAGCATGAACTTCTGAATTGAGCATGACTCCACTTTTTTTTGTCTCTGGAAACACATCCCTTGGGAGAAAATACACTTCAACTGTCAGTTGTGGGTCAAAGTTCATACCCATACCCAGTGTCAATGATAAAACCTATAATCTATGAGTAAATGTTGAAATGTTTAAGGGAGAAGCAAAAAAGATTTTGGTGAAGACACCAAATTTTATCTCGGGCTTGGGATATCAGGGACTTTTCCTTACATTGCTCGTGTGCCCTACAAAATTCCACTGAGCTCCTAGTAAGCTTGCCTGCCTAAGGAAGTGACATGTATCATGCCTATGAGCATATGCTGGAAGCAGAGAACTAATACTGAGTGAATACATGTTCGCTTGTAGCCTGCCTGGAAAAGTTCCCAGATTATGTATTTATTTCTGCTACATATTTACATTCATCTAAGGATATTTGTCCTGGAACTCCCCCTTTCAGAAAGGGACTATTGCATAATGCTTTCAGAAGGTGAGGGCGTATTCTTCCTGCCTGCTGTCTCTGGATCCTGGAAAGATTTAGTCATGAACTTCAGTATTTGAATGGTTCTGTGGAGTCAGTGTCTGCCTGTGTAACTAGGGATGAGTGCAAGTATCTGCAGGAATAAGGCAAGGAAGCCCCTCAGAGATGGTGTTGTTACATTAATATTTGAGAAGTTTATGAAATAAATCAGAACTGTCAGTTTGCTTTTCTCTCTCTGCAGGCCTTGACCTTCCAGGGAGATTTCTCTTTGCAATCTTGACTCTGATGACGCTCATTGCCATTCTGGTGTTTATAGAGGAAGCTGTCTACATCTACAGGAAAATCCCCTCCTCCAAGAGATCAATCATAATTTGGATTAATGCTGCAGCTCCAGTAAGTTAAACATGGAAACGAGATAAAGTTCAATGCTGAAAATAAGGCTTCCCTGAAAATCCACAGGAACCACATGAGCTCTCTGCCCTTCATACAACCTTCCTCCCTTTTCTTTGTAGGTGATCTCCTCTACTTCATGCATTGGCATGTGGGTTCCTCGCTCAACAATGTTTACAGATTTCACAGCAGGAATGTGAGTATTCTGCTTGTGTCTAGGTGTTGCTCCAAACCCTGAATTTCTTCCCTTTAAACATCTGCTGCTCTTGGTAACACAGTCATTCTGTAAATTTAACAATTCAGTAATTTCTTTGTTTGAGTTGAAATCTCTTGGCAGCTCTTTCCTGGGAGGTAGAAAATGCTGAAACAGTTCCCAGTGCTCCAGTCCCCTAGTGTGGGAATGTCAGTGTGAAGGATCTGTGACTCACATGTAATTGATTCCCTGGACTGACAGCCTCTTTGGAGCAGCAGTCTGTCTTTCCTCTCTCTGCATGCCATGTGGGATGAGAGTCTGGCCTGTGACTTCTTCCCTGCACTTTTACTAATGATGAGCCATGGAGGTCTATTATTAATGGTGCCAAGTGAGCCCCCAGTGAGCACATCAGTGCAAAAACGTTCCACAGTTGTCCTGATGAATGCACTTTTTGTGTGAGCATGACAGCTCTGGCACACGCAGAGAAGAAGGGAGAAATGTTCTCCTGCTTTCTGGAGGTGATGGCACAGCCCTGCTGGGCAGGGCTGAGTGGGGCTGTGCCATGGCCCTGAGCACTCCACATCTGGAGATGAGTAAAAGAGGAGGGACAACACTGAGTAGGGAATACTGTTGGCATGTGGCAGTGTGTGCAGGTAGTGCAGATTGCCAGAAACTTCCAACAATCCAATGGCACTTCAAGCGGGCTTAAATTCCCTCTTCTGCCTTGCCCAAGCTGCAGGCAGTGCAGCAGAGGACCTCTTTTATGGATTGGGTTTCCATGTTTGGTGGCATAATCTGCAGTTCCTGGGTAGGGTTGGGAATGTGCAGCTGGGGCAGGAGGGAGAGGTGGAGCTGAAGCAGTAGGTGCTTTGTCTGCCAAGGAACCCCACCCTGCCTGGGCCAGCACATTCAATGATAGCTAATAATATAATAATAGCTAATTCAATATGTGAACTTAGCCATGTTTGTTGGTTGAAAGCCACGTTTGAGGAGCAAGAGGACTTGTTCTAAAAGGTTCAGACTAGTGAGAACTAGATAACTTATGGACAAACACAGCCAGAATGAAGGGGCCAGGAAAGCCTGTGCTTTAACTCTGCCACCAGCCCCCAGAGCAGCTTTGGGAAATTCCACACCTGCTCTGTGCCTCAGTTCATTCCTCTTTCAGTGAGGGTAGGGCAGTTCTGCTCCTCAAAGTGATGGAAAGCAGAAGGTGTCTCAAAGACACAGCCAGAACTTTTGTTGATTGGGAAGCACAAGCTGTAAAAACCCTGTACGGGAGGTGGCCCTGCTCTGCACAGGCATACGAGACACACAGGCAAGTTTGAGCTGAAATTCTCTCCCTCTCCTAGATTTTTTGCCATAGTTATCCACAAGTTCCTGATGATGATGATTAAAGAGTGTGGGGGGCAGAAGGTGCTCCTCAGACGGTTTGAGAATGGTCACTTCACCATCACCACCGGGCCCTGTTGCTGCTGCTGCCTCTGCCTCCCTCGTGTGCCCATCACCAGGTGAGTCACTCCTGTAGGATTCCCCTTTGAGGAGCTTGAAAACGGCTGCTGGAATTCAGCCAGCTTGGCAGGGCCAGGCTCACAGCAAAGCATCCCAAAAGTCAGTCTCAAGACATCTCAAACTGTTTCTTTTAAACAGCATCCTCACTCTGGGTCTGTACACCATCACTAATTTATTTTGTTTCTATAATGCAGAGGTGTGTGGGAGGAGAAATTTCTACCCTAGAAAACCTAATAATTGACATTTCAGTTTCCTTTCATTCCAGAAAGGAACAAATATCTTGAGATTGGGTATTTTTCACAAGCAGAATTGTCAAATGGAGGCTCTCTTGATAGAAAGTTTCTCTCACTTTGATAAAATGGAAATGTTTCCTCCTGATTTTAACTTTAAAACTACTTGAGGTTAAAATAATTTTTAGAACAAAAAGTAGATACAATTCTTGTAAAGCTTTGTTCTCAATGAAATGGCATTGTCTGGTGAGGCAAAAGCAGATGTTTTCTTCTTCTAAACTTATTATTAAAGCATCTTTGAGAAGGGGGGTAAGGATGGAGAGCTCCAGGAGCCAATATACTGTAACATAAACCTGCCCCCCTTTGAGCACTGCCTGGTGGAGCTCCTCCTCTGGTTAGTGCCACCCCCTCACTCACACACCTCTCCACAGCCTGGAAGCCTCCTGCATTTCCCTCTGCTTTCCTACTGGCATAGAGCATGAGACTGTTTCTCTCATTGTAAGCAAAACCTGAGGGACTGAAATGAGACTTTTCTGTGAGGGTGTGGACTTGAGTGTTAGAGGGTCCTAGGGGATTGTACAATCTGTTTAAAGAAAAGCAGCAAACAGAACACAGCATAGTGGTTTCTGATGCATTTTCAAAAATTCTAATCTTTTATTACAATAATTTTTCCTTAAACTGCCTCATTTGATATTAGAATTTAAACTTTAGTTTCCATAATTTTATTTCAATAGAGTATAGGTTGTAGCAGCTGGGAGCTTGGGAGAGGATCCCCTCCTCTGCCTTGCTGTTGTTCAGCCCAGTGGCAGCTGATGCAGGATGATGTCAGCTCATATGGACTCATCTCAGGAGCTACACAGTGCCTGCTACTGCTGGCAGGAAGGACAGCTCTCTGTTGGGAAAAAACCCCAGGCTTTCTGCTCTGCAGAGGGCTTAGGCCTCCTTCTCCAGTGTCTGTACCACTGGGAAACCCATCTGCTCTCTGCTTCTAACCTCCAGCCTTTCCCCATTGCAGGGTACCTTTAAAAAAAAAGATATTGGCAAGCTATATGAGAGAAAAGTCAGTCTCACATTCCTTCTATAGGTATCTTATGGGGAAACAGGGAGCTACCCCAAGGGAGGGATTCATTCTTTAAAAAAACCAAACATATATATCTGCAGTCCTGGGGAGAACAACAAGGTACAGATGAGGCAATGCAACAATCCATGCACAGGGAGAGATGTGGCAGAAGAGGTCTGGTGATAGTAAAGGTGGGCCTGTGTTAACAAGGGAAACAGCTCATGGCCTTGCAGGGACTGTCCTCTTTGTCATATGCATTATTCTTTAAAGCTCTCTGGGAATTATAAATCTTTGAGAAGGTACACACTGGAACATTGCAGGTCTTTCCACATGGGTTTGTGCTGTTGATAATCCTGTGGTTACCAGCTATATTCATTGAGCAATTCCTGTAATTCCTGGTTCCTATATCTTTTAGCACACTAAATGGCAGCCTCCTGTCTGTGAGACATCTCTGATGCCAGGGTCCAAGGAACTCCAGTGAAAACAACACTGAAAATATGAGAAATAATGCACAGTAACAGACCAAAACATGAGGCAGCTGTAGCAGCTGCAGCTTCCCCTGTGAAAGCAGAAGGAGAGCTCAGGTCAGCCAGCTTCCATGCCCTCTGTCAGAAAGTTCATCTGCCCCTCTCCTGGTGGGCTGCAGAGCTGGCTGGCCAGGTTACAGGTGTGCTCTGGACCCACTTCACAGTGACAGAAGTGAAGGAATCCTGAGCTCTCCTGCCAGCCTTGTGCAATTTGCCAAGTGAGAGGCTGCTCCTTTCTTCTGTTAGACCACAGAGGGGCAAGCCCAGATCTGACATGGTACTCTTCAAAATGCACTGAAAAACCACCAGTCCTTTCACCTAGGGCTGTGTGATCCCCCTTCTCGATCTACCACAGGACTAGGAAGTGGCTGAACAGGCTGATTTGTCCAATGCCATGGGAGGACTGCAATAATAAGGCAACAAGGCAAGAGCAAACGGCATCATTGTTCAGGAACTGGTTATGCAGCTCCTGTCTCCCTGCTTGGCTTCAGGGCAGAGAAAGACATCATGTTTTGCCCAGCCTTGGTTAGTATGTACTTGCTGCAGAGCAGGAAAAGTACTATTTTTGTAGAGACTTTATTAAATAAACACTGGGAAATTCTTGGAAATATTTTCTAATCTTGAAGCTGTTCCTCCCCGGATTTTAGCCACATGCTACAAGAGGAGTGGAAAAGTTTTGCAGTTGACAGTATCCAGAAAATGTTATTAAGGTTGCTAATACATCTTGGCCTATCTAATTTTTTTGTTGCTTTTTTTTTCATCCAGGCAAACCCTGTTTTGGCTGAAGCTGGGCACCTTTCAGTTTGCTGTCTTTCGGCCTGTGCTCGTATTTTTATCAATAGTGCTTTGGACTAATGGCAATTATGTTCTTTACAATGTAAGTAACTATTTTAATCAGAGAAGGTCCTCAAAATCCATAGGTTTCAGGGCTGATGTAACTATCTTAACCTGCAACTTTACTGTGAAATCTGGGACCATTTCCAAGTGAGTCCTTACTGTATTCTTTTGACACCTGAAGCATATAATTTCTTGACATCCTTGATTTCTGCCTTCCTCAGCTCTCTTGGAAAAAAATTTGGCATCAGAGGGGGTTGGGCATCAGATTATACATTTCCCAGCTGGTATGGTTAGAATAGCAGGACTGCAAGTTGCCCTGTGGGATGTATCTGCCCTGTGTTTTGTAAGGTACAGCCTTAAGAAATAAGTGTATGTACTGGCATGCTAACAGGAAGCCTAATTCTGTGTTTTTCAGCAAGACATGGTGATTTTTATATCTGTGCAAAATGAAAAGATAGTACTGTACTTCTGCTTTGTACCATGTAACCTGCAAGATGATGGAGAAATCTGTATCTGATAATAATTTGGCACCTCTTGAATAACTCAGACTAGAAGTAATATTTTTGTTGTCATTTCATGGTATAAAATGAATGATCCACCTGAGTTGTCAGGCTGAACCTGCTCTCATGAGCTGTTGAGGATTGCCACGTGCTGCTGGGGTCTCTGAAAAGGCAAACACTCCATGGCTGGCAATTGCAACACTGAGGGGTTGTGTCACTGGCACCTCCCCAGGCTGGACACGTCTCTGTGTTGGTGCCTGCAGGAGAGAGCCTGTGCCAATGCTCCAGTTGGTACTGGGCAGCTTCCTCATGCAAAACCCAGCAGCTGCTGCTGCCACCAGCTTTCATGCAGATAGCAAAAAGCATTTTAACATCATCCAGTTCACAACTTCTTCCTGGAAACACTGAAGTAAGGTTGTATAAGATGGTGTGATTTGCTTCTCAGGTGTCTCCCAAAGGACCTGCACTGTGGATCAGCTGCTTCATTGGTGCCCTCACCCTTTGTGCTCTGTGGGCAGTAGGAATCATGTTTCGAAAAGTTAGGATTCTCCTTAAGTGTAAGAACATTATCCCAAAGTTCGCTCTTTATCAGGTGAGAACTTTAATATTTCTGATAAGTATTTCTCTTAACTGCTGATACTACTCAGCCTTTCTTGTTCTTGCTCCTTTGCTGAAAATTTATGGTATTTTTTCCCATTAAATACACTGTGCAAAGCCATATTTTTACCTAATTAAAGCTGAATCCCTTTCAAGCACTCTCCTTGGCTGCTGTTCAGTTTTACTTTGAGCCAATTTACCTCTAGTCTCAGGAGTGCTGGAGATGTGAAAGCCATGTAAAATCTGTCCATCTTTAGACCACTGAAATCACAACAGCAGTTTCTGTGGGGCTTGAAGGAAGCTTTGTAGCTGTGGTATCCTGAAATGCAATGTTAAAATGCTGGTGTGTACCTCAGAGAGGAGATGTTGCATTGTGCAGGCAGCTGTTGTTTGAACTGTTCCAGCATTCCACAATATGCTGTTTTAATTGTATTTTTCTTGGCCATTCTGCACTTCAGAATTAGATAATAGTGAAAATACTGGCTGAAAATCATTAAACAGTAAGGAACAGAACCACATAGGTTAGATTGAAAAAGCACAGGGACAAGGCCACCCTCTTCCACATCACTCTGAATAGAGCCCAGCAGAATCCTTGGAAATGTCTCCTCCTTGAACAGCACGTGCATCAAGGCTGGTGCACTGAGTTAGGTAAATTATTAAGCACTAATAAAGGCAGAAAACAGGATGGTCCCACCTGCAAAGCTGTGTTAGTGTGAATGCAGGTTTGGGATGGCAAACTCTGTGGATGTGGGGGAGCCACAGAGGCACTTGGATAACTCCATGGCAGCAAAGGTCTGGCTCAATGGAATGGGATGAGCAAGTGGTGGCTGCTGAACTCAAGCTGTGAAGAGTCCCTCATACCTTCTGGCAAAGCCAGTCTCATAATTTGGGAGCCACAATATCTCTGCTTTGGCAAAAAGAGGAGACAACAAGGAAAAATGTTCTTTGAGTCTTTCTTCCATTAAGGAAGAACATAAGCTCATAGGTCAAATTAACTGTCATTTTTTAAACATTGTTACCTATTATTCAGAACTCAGTATTATTTGAAATCCCTGCTGTGAGGTCTGTGTATAATGTACCTCCCAAATGAAGGCCTGAGAAGAAATGCTTTTCAAGTCCTGGATTAATTTAATACTCCTATTCAGAGCAGTATCATCCTGACCTTAAGATGAATTCTGCAGAATGGCAGGCATCCTGCTGGTAGGTGAGGGGAAAGGGAGGGCAAGCAAGGAGGAATGAGGCAAAGGAGGTTTAGTTATCAAAGCAGAATTGTTGTGTGAACTATAAACCCCTTTCTGGTAGCTAAGGCATTTGTTTTCTGTTTCTGGTACAGTTTATTGTCATTCTGAACCACCTGCAGACCACTATTATCAACATATTTGCTACACAAAAAATCATTCCCTGTGCTCCACCACTCTCCTCTACAGCAAGAGGATCATGTAAGTTTTCTGGGGGAAGAATGTTCTTCATTGACTTATAAAAGTACCAGTTCAGTGTTGCTGATGGCAATCTGTGGTGTTTTCCCAAAACACAAATTTCATGGTATCACTAGCTTTTGGAGAATCTCATTTTTTAGTTTAAAAACAATAACAAAAGTTTCATAGCTGTCATGGTTGTAGAGAATAACTTGATAATGAGAAGAGCTGGAATCAGAAATGAGAGGAAAAGAAATCAACATGCATAATTCCTGTTAAATCTCTTGTGTTTTGGATGCATAATTTATTGCATTCTTATTGATGGGCAGTACTGGTATTCTGTAACAGATGTCATTGCTGAGTCTGAGAAACACAGGGACAGGGTGAGAGAGTTTGTTCCTTTTGCACAGGTGAAAATTAATAAGCCAATTATTCATTTGTTGTTTGATAGTAATTTCCCCTTTTGGGGGGCTTTTCTTTGTCTCCCTTTTTTTTTTTTTTTTTTTTTGCTTTTTTTTTTGTTTTTTTGGCAGACATTGCCCAGCAGCTGCTCATCATGGAAATGTTTCTGATAACTGTGATCTCCAGGGTGGTCTATCGGAGGAAATACCACGACCTGGAGCCTCCAGAGTGCATGGCTGAAGAGCCTGGGGACAAGAAGCAGACTCCTGAGGTTATCCTGAATGGTGCAGCTGTGGAGGATGCATTGCCAAAGGTTTAGAAGTGCTCCTGTTAGGCAGGAGCTGTAAGATCAGCTTCAGGAACTTCTTGCACCAAAAATAGCCACTGTCCATGTCAGAACATAGCATGAGTGCCTGTGAGCTGCAGTACTGAAAGACCAGTAAAGATAATCCTGTTGATTCTCCAGCCATGTGTGCATGGTGTGAGGGTTTTCACACCATGTAATTTACTAAGATTTTATACCATTTTCTACTGTTACTGAGCACTTGATGGTGCCAAACTGTCTTACAATATGATTTTATTTTATATTTTAGCTATTAGAATGGCTATGATTTAGAGTTAATTCAGAGTAATTATTTTTCATCTTTTTTGACTTTTAAAAAATCTTAAGATTTTTTAAGATAAGACCCTGGATTGCTGTCACATGTCCAACACAGCATTTTTCCATGCTTCATCCATCACAATAGATCATCTCTCACTCTACACCACAAGCTCACCATAGCAAATTCTGATCAATAAATAGAGTCTCATGTTTGTTCTGAAATCCCCAAACCCATATGGGCTCTTCACCTACAGAAACAATGATCTCTCTAGGGCAAGACTTTTTACATTCCTAGTCAATTCACAGCCTAAATTGGTAAATACACAGTTACTGTTTGTAAATATGTCAGGTTTTCTTCCTGCAGACAGCAGGTTCTCTGTCAATGGAAAAGGAAGATAGGAGTTAGAGTCTGGGATATCTTCTGGTCTGTGGTGTTACATGGTGCTTTGGTTCTCTGCTTGGTAAATGGGGATAATGACACTCAGGATCCCTGCACTAACAGTGAGGGTGGCAGTCATTGAAAGGGCTGTTGGGGTGCTGGTCACCAGCCAGCTGAGCAGGGGCCAGCGTGTGCCCAGGCAGCCAGGAAGGACCTGGCACCTGGCCTGGATCAGCGAGAGCGTGGCCAGCAGGCCCAGGGCGGGGCTGTCCCTCTGGTGAGGCCACACCTCAAATCTTTTGTTCAGGTTTGGGCCCCTCATGACAAAGAGGACGTTGAGGTGCTGGAGTGTGTCCAGGGAAGGGCAAGAGGACAAAGCTGGGCAGATGGAGTCACAGGACACTTTGGGTTGGAAGAGACCCTGAAAGGACTTCTCGTCCAAGCCCCTGCAGTGAGCAGGACATTTTCACCTAGATCAGGTTGCTCAGAGCCCCATCCAACCTGACCTTGAATGTTTCCAGGGACAGAGCACCTGCCACATCTCTGGGCCACCATTCCATTATTTTACACCTCTCTCTGTAAAAAAGTCTTCCTTATATCTGGTCTAAATCTATGCTCTTGTAGTTTTTTAACCTTTATCCCTTGTGCTATTGCAACAAGCCCTGCTAAAAAGGGTGTCCCCGTGTTTCTTGTAGTCCCCTTTAGGTACTGGAAGGCCACAATAAAGTGGCCTCTTCCCAGAGCCCTCTGTTCTCTAGGCTGAGCAGTCCCATCTCCCTCAGCCTGTCCTCATAGGCTGAAGTGCTCCAGCCCTCTCATCATTTCTGTGGCCCTTCTCTGGACACACTCCAACACACAGCAGGGCTTTATTTATGGCTCACACTGAATTAAAACATTGCATTCTGTTTGGGAATTGGTGGGAAATGAAACATACTAAAAACAGCTAGTGAACCACCTGAAGTAGAAATTGGGGCTGACTCAAAATGTTTTTTTTCTTTTCGATTGAGGTCAGAAACAATATTTTCTTTAACAACTGAAGGATTCCATTATAGTAGAAAACTTGAATTATTTTTGTTTTGAAATGGTTGATGCAATTTTTATATTTAATATTTTTTTCTAAGTAGGCAGTCTGGGAAATTAATATAGACTCTTGGACTGCATTAATTTGAGAGAATCTGCACTTTTCCTTAAAAAATAATTCATGTGAAAATTTTTACTCTGCATTAGAGTGAGTTAGCTGGGATCAGCTAATTTATTCTTATAATGACAAATCTACTTAATGTATTTTAACATTATGACTATTAGCATATTCCTAATGTTGCTTTATATCAGTGCAATCTAGGCCATGAGTCCATACACAGGCTTGAAGAGCAATACTGAATTTCATAACAGCATTGGGGATGATTGGCTGCAAGTACAATCAGCTTCAAAATTGGAAAATAAAATATTTTGAGTTGGTAAAGCATCTTTGTGTTTTCTGTCGTGGTTCAAGGGAATGCTTTGATGGGTGGGATCTGTGGCATGGAAAAGCAGATCCATGTGCTGTAGCTGGAGAGTGCCTTTGAAAGCAGATGGAATGTGTAAAAAGTGTGTCTGTAGGTCCAGAGGAGGCTGCTGGGGCGCTGCAAAAGTCTTCACTCATTGCTGTTGGGCTGGTGTCTGTCATGTCTGTTAAATGTATCTTGTAAAGATCAGTGTGGGCCTGATTTAGCCACAGGTATCACTGGCTATTCTGCTTTTGGATAGGTATTTAACACTTGTTGTGACCTTCATCTGACATATTTCAGCAATAAGATGTACTGTGGTGGTTGTCAAGCAGACTTTGGATTTGGCAGCAAATCTGTTTACTGTGTACAGTCATGGAGATCTCATTCCAGACATCACTTACTTACACAGAAGCCTTTTCAGACCAAAATTAGGCATATATTCTATATAAATATATATTCTCTATAAAATTAGATATATATTTCTACATATAGATATAGAAATATATTAGGCATATATTTTCTTTAACACATGCCCAAGAGCTTTCCTGAGTTACAGTTTATGTGGCTGTAGCAGAATATGTGGGCCTTATTGTTACAAATTTTGTGTCCCTTTTTTTTTTTAACTAAGACTCTCTTGCCCTCCTCTGGCTCAGACCAATAGCTGTGTCCTGCCTAATGGAGGAGCCTGGAAACAACTGGACTCCATTGCAGGGCCTGCATTCAGGTACTCCTGAAATGAAAACATTGCAAGTCACCACCTCCAAGCTGGATCTTAATCAGTCTGGGGATGGAAAAACAAAACAGAGTGCCAGGAATTCGTTCAGTCTCAGTTCTGATAACCATCCCTTTCAGATCACTTTCAGCTACGTGTTTGCGATTGAAGTATTTGAAAACAGTTGACAAGAGCTAGAAGATAAATTTCACAACTGGTTTTATACAGCTGTAGTAAAGTAATGATTGTTAGGGTGAGTGCACAACCTTTATGTTGTGTTTGCCTGGGATTATTGTGTGAGGAAGGGTAAAGGTAATATTATCAGTGTTTTCTGTGATTAACAGCATTAAACAGAGATAAGCATACACAGAGGTGTGTGATTGAGGCTTAAGAGGCTTCAGACACGTGGAAGGAATTCATTAGAACATGGGAGAAGATGAGTCATATGCTTTGGGTGTCCATGTGCTAAAGATGCAGGCAGGAGGGTGAGCACTGGCCATGAAATCTCCTGGAGGGCCATGCAGGGGAATGCAGCCCACAAAAGGGGGGAATCTCTCAACACCTTGTAGTGCTGCAGGAGTGGGGTGGTAAACAGGAGCTGCTCCATGCTCTTCTTTTCCACCTGTCCTTCAAGCTATTAACTTTAAAGCCACACTAGCTGAATCCCTCCTGTTTCAGAACACTGTGGTGTGGGCTCCTGTTGGCTGCAGAGTGGCCAGTGCTGGAACCTTGAAAAAGTTCCCTCAGCAGACCTCCTTGAAAGGCAAGTTCTGCCATGCCTTCGTGTTTCTCATGTCTCAGGCCTCTCACCAGGGCCTCATGACTTAATACCCAAAGGATGTGTTTCAGGAGTTGAGGGTGCTCTGCTGGCTATAGATCCTCTTATCCCTACATCCCACCCTCCAATTGTCCTGTCTGCTCCTTCACCCTCACCCTCACCCTGGCCTCTGCCTTGCTTTAGAAAAAATCATGTGGGCACCCATCAGGGAGGATGTGCAAGGGTGTAGGCTCATGCCTGCACACCCAGGACAACTAGAACCTACCCTCTATGCAATGTTTGCTTCCAAAGAAAAGCCAAGAAAAAATACCCACAGCAATCATTGTGATCCCATGGTTCCCAGAACTGGAGCAGGGGAAGGATTTGGGTAACATTGTGAAGCTCTTAGAGAGTGTTCAAAGAAGGGTAATGGGGATGGTGAAGGGCCCTGAGGGGAAGCCATGTGAGGAGCAGCTGAGGGCACTTGGTCTGTTCAGCCTGGAGGAGACTGAGGGGAGACCTCGCTGCAGTTCCAGCTTCCTCCTGAGGGGAAGGGCAGGCACTGATCTCTGCTCTGTGACCAGTGACAGGACCCAAGGGAATGGCCTGAAGCTGAGTCAAGGGAGGTTTAGGTTGGATATCAGGAAAAAGTTCCTCAACCAGAAGGTGGGTGGGCACTGGAACAGGCTCCCCAGGGAAGTGCTTACACCACCAAGCCTGACAGAGTTGAAGAAGTCTGGACATTGGACAATGCTCTCATGCACAGGGTGTGATTCTTGGGGATGTCCTGTCCAGGGCCAGGAGCTGGACTTGATGATCCTGATGGGTCCCTTCAGCTCAGCACATTCTGTGATCCTGTTGGAATACAATCAGTGGTAAATTGGACAAGTTAGGGCATAGGTGGATTTAGTGCAAGCAGTAAAGAAGCCCTGAAGACTCATGGATAACAGAGAACACAGCAGTCATTTGCTACACACCTAATGCAAATGCTAGAATGGGTCTGTTGCAACAACTCCACCTATTCAATCATTTGAATAATTTGAGGCATTTGGCTTCCTTACCCTTTCAGAAACAGTCTGAGTGCTGCTTTTGCTGACAGCCATTCACGTGTCTCTTCAGGACAGCTCATGAATCTACTTGTACCTTCTTAGCTCCCAGGTAAAATGGATGACTATTTTTAAGACAGTTTTTAGGGGAAGAGGGTTAGATAACACACTGATCTCTTAACTGCTTTAGATGCCTTACAAAATGTTAGCTAGGTGATTCTAGCAGTTGTCTGAATCAGCATGAGCATCTTCGTTTCAGCAAAAGCAGGGAAATCTAGAGGTCTGTCTCCACATTGTACTGGTTGACAATAGGAGGATAATCACAACAGTAGATTGA